TTAAGTAAGTAAATAGTTAAAGATATTGAAGAGATCTTAGTGGACCTAATTTTCTGTATGTACTTTCTGAAGTTCACTTACTGAGCACTCATATGAGGCATCTTCAGAGTTTTTGAACATAATTGCCGCAAAAGAGACACCAAAGAGCAGTTCTGAGAATCTTAGCCTTTCAGTCTTAATTTAGGCTCTGTTTTTTGAATATTTGCCCTTGGCCTTATAAAACGCATACTTTCAAATAATTTCAGTAATGGAAGTTATTTGATTCTCTGTTCCTGAGGAGAGACTCCACTTGCAAAACATCCTTATAAATGACCGACTCTCTTCAAGCGTATTACCAGTATGCTGTTATTTTTCAAGTGTGGCATTTGTGTGTCTTGCAGATTTATTTTTACCTTTCAGAAATGCTAAGTAATAAGCTTCATTCTCACTGTTAAGTTAACAGACAACTCTAATGCCTCAACTTTTTAATAGCTTTGGAATGCAATAAATTTGAAATATTTGATGGACTCTGCATTATATGGACATTGCTTACACCCGAGGGAAATTGCAAATATAATAATAGCTACAAGATTTGCTCTTGTCTGAATACTGTACAGAGATGTTTAAAATGACTAGACAAAAAATTATGAAAGCAGCATATGACTCAAATTATAAATAAAATATGGGGACTACTGGACCAAAATCTGTGTGTGGGAAAAACTTTGTGACAGCCAAATCTACAGAGAGGATTATTCAAGAACATTTACTAAGGACTCAGTCCTCACCCTTTTACAGTTGAGAGTCAAGTATTTTGAGCAGCTGGACTGCAAACAGTCTTTCCAGAAATTTGTGGAGTGACTCTGCAAATGTTTAAGCAGTTCTTAGATCTTTTACTCATTTCCCAGTGCTTGGTGTACCCAGGCTTTGCTTTCATCTGTCCTTCTATGGTGACTTCCACAGTTTTCCATAATTATGGAAGCTGTGTCCAAGAATGGCCCACAAAGTCTGAGGGTTTGCAATGAAGAACTGTAAGAGGATTTTTTACCTGAGGGAATAAAAGACCCAAATGTGCTTATCTTCTGTTCCTATCAATTGTCAGAGCTCCAGCAACGGAGTGGTGCTGTGACAGTTTACCAAGCTGAGAATCTGCTCCAGTTTTTTTGACGATCTGTTTGCTCTGTCATCACCATTACCCCACTGGAAGACACAACCAGAAAACACGTATTCTAAAGAAGGGAGCAAGCTTACAAGCTCTGTATAGGAGCATTCCTTAGCAGCCCTCAGCAGGACCGCAGAAGCAGGTTCCCAGACACAGAGCTGGAATGATCAGACGATTACAAGAATACAAGGTATGAATTCCAGAAAGTTCAAGCAAATTCCTTCTGCTTGTTCATATCAAGATTTATACAAATAGCATAACACGAGGCTTGGCAAGGTAATTTTCCTTCAGTTTTGCCATCTGTTTCTTCACAAGTCTGTCCCCCATTAAAAAAGCAGGATACCTAATACTAGAGGTCTGCCTGATGTCTCAACATTTGCATGCGTAGTTCTGTTGGCTGCAGTGCTACTGCAGTAAGGACAAGGTAGTCAGAGCCAATTTGTCCGTATCTGCAGAAGAGAGTTCTCGGTGCTTGGTTGTGCTATAAAGCCAGTCCCTGAGAATCCCTGACGGTAATTGCAATTCTCCTCCTCAAACCTAGAGCAATGTTTAAAGCGGAGGAAGCACAGGAACCTCCCGAACGGTTTCTTCCCCCGTTGCCTGTCAAGTGATTTCACTGCAATGCCTAGAAAAAGCAAAGCAGTTCAGACGGCATCTATTTCTGGTGTGAAATCCTAGTTGTGGATTCCCAGTGCTGATGCGTTTTTCAGACCCTCTGGTGAATTTCTAAGCTCTCTTGGAATAACAGCTGCTGGGAGGGGACTGGAATCCCCACTGTGGATTTCAGGTTCACAGACTTTGATGAAATCTCTAAACAACAGGGTGGGAAAGCTGTTTTTTATCAAGAGCAGCTATGAAGGCAGAGAAGCAAACTCTTGTCAGTAAAAAGCTTTTCATCTCCTTGTCCCGTTTTTCTGAGAAACAAAGGGTAGGATATGGAAACTCAGTATGAATTTTGAGGGGTGGGGGCAGACAAGTAGAGACTCTTTTCTGTTCAGTTCCTCCTTAGGGAGGTATTCCGGGTAGAGATAAAGATACAGCCTGGTACTCAGAGGTGTGTTGGTGGGCCTGATAAAAGCAGTGCCTTGAGAGCCAGAGGGAGGGAGGGAGAGTCACACTGAGGGCTGTGTAGTAGTTCAGAACCACTATCGATGGTTTCTTTTTCCTTTTCTTGAAAGCCTATTTTTTACATATATTAAACCTAGAAGAGACCACTGTTACCGTTGGTTAACTCCCTGTGTAACATCAGACATAGGCTGCAGCTGTGCATGGTGAAGATCTGAAGGAGAAAAACTCCTTATCTGAAACACCTTAGTAGTTGCTAGGTCACAAGTATTTCCAATTCTTCACCAGCACGTGAGATAATATATAAAATACTTCTGGTGGCTCACAACAGCACACAAAAAGGTTTCACTGATGGCAATTTGTACAGTGCAGTCCCTTCTCTCCCCCTTCACCTAGTCACTATAATAGTTAATTAACAGTTAGCAGTGTTAGGACTATGGTCTGGCCACTGATGAAGGAGCACTGAGTGCCTTAAGATGGTGAATACCATCAAATATAGAAAGTCTAACCAATGTCATTTAATGGCATGGGATGTTGCTGTTGTCTGCAGATCAGTGCTCCACCATCTTGACTGCCACTGAATTTTCAATTAGGGTCAAACTTAAACATTCTTAGTTGCACATAGCATTAGCACAGTTAGCCAAGCAATCAAGACTTGAGATAAGCTTGTGATATAGTCTCCATGGTAAAAACTATATTGACCAGAGATAAATAATTGTCAACACCTGGATACTTCTCTGGTACACTACAAGTTCCACGATACGAAAGGTCCACTGCTTGCTGTATCTGTGATGATGGTCACATTGCAGATATTGTTAAGGAATTTAGCATTGATAGGTTCCACAAAACATTTGACATCCTTTACACAAAACTTCAGTTCCTTGACCAGTTCCTGGAGAACTGACCTGGCAATAAGCAAATAAAAGTATGTCCCTGGGATTCTTCTGGCTAAAATGATTTTTTATTATCTGCCTTGTGAGCTGCATGTAAGACGTTGCATGAGCCCTCTCACTGAGCCCATTTTCTATCATATCTTAGGTTAGCTTGATTACCTACATTCCCAGTAATGTTTATAATGTTTATTGTCTCCTCAAGGGAAAGTAAGACCCTTGCATCCCCTGGGTGCCTGATAAGAGGCTACATAAACTGCAACTCTTGAGTTTGGAGAGGAGAAGGCTGGGAGCAAAGAGTAAGGTTTACAAAATCATGATAAGGTGAATGCACAACTATTATTCACCTGTTCTTCAACAGTTACAGCACAAAGATTAGGAGGTACTCAATGAAATTAATAGGAGATTGATTTGACAGAAACTAAAGGCAGTATGCAGGGAAGTACCTTCTGACACTCCTAATCCAGTGATTGTGGTTGCTGAGGGAGAACAAGGAGAACAGACTGCACAAAGTGGCCAGGAACACATGTAGTCCCTAAATGGTGTTTCCCAGTGCCACTGTCCTAGATAAGGTAGTGGTATAGCTGTACCCAGGTCTGTTATAACCATGTTCTTATGTTAATAGGACAATCAAACAGATCAGACACTGTCTCTCAAACCCAAAAGACAGCGTGCATTTTCCATTACCTTCCACCCTCTCCAAAATGTAAAACATTCATTCTCATACTTTTGCCCAGTTCCTTTATAAACTTCTCCAGATTGGGCAAACAAAAATAGCTTAAACAGAAGATAGCAGTCCTCCACCAGGAAAGCCTTAGTAATCTTACAGTCCCTCAGCTCACCACAACTACTGTGTTCTCCAGAGCAGCTCCTTTCCTCCCTGTACAAGTGGGAACGGTCTCTGGTCTTGCTGTGAAAGCAGGAAGTTTAGGAGAAACAAGCTGAGATTCTAGTCAGAGATGCTTTTGTCTTGGCCAGTCAAAAGGAAAACATTAGTACATACCCAGGGTAATTACTTGAAGAAAATGGTTATATTATTTTCTGTCCCTTCACATCACTGAATTGGAGTGCAGTTACATACTGTTGAGTTATTGGTGAAATAGCAGCAGAATGATTAAGGAAATCAACAGGCAAAAACCATGCGAAATATGTTAGTTATCAACAAAGTAATTGGATAGCATTTAAGCGAATGAAACAGACACAGGCATGCAAAATATTACAAAGGATTATAATAACTTTAGCAGAGAGGGGAGGTTTCCAAGTGACTACATTCCAAGTGACCCAACTACATTCACTACCAGCAAACAGAGGACTTTCTCATCACTAGCCTGCTTCAAGGAACCGCAATGAGAGGGGATGGTCACCCCAGAGGTATCAGGGTTTCCCAAAGAATGGAAAATTATAAATCAGAGAGACGGGAGGAAAGCTTTAGAGAGGAAGAAAACAAACTCAAATTCTGAATTCTGTTAGATAGCTAACAAGCCATATTTCATAAAAAGGATAACTTTTAAGCCTGTTGTGGTTCAGTGGCTGCAACAGTCAGATAAAAAATGCAGTATCTAATACTGAAAATAATTTTTTAAATGGGGAAAGAACAAAAGTATAAACAGGTTTAAAAAGAAATACAAATTTTCTGAAACGTATTTGTAAAACAAGAATGCCTAGTGGTGGTGATTTTGATGATGAATGCCTAGCAATTCCATCTTTTGCTAGATGGAGATAGTACATTTGAAACAATGTAGGAAAAGACAAAGTTTCTGCTGTTTTGGATCTGGGAAGGAGGAAGATGGTAGAGATGGCGATACTGAAATATTTTCTAATTCATTAGCAAAAAAGAATTTTTAGTAAACGCAGGCTAGACAACTGAAAGAACTGGTCTTCCTACAGTACACTGGAACACCCCACACGAGCACGGCCGCCCTCCCATCCCCAAGCACAGCCTCCAGCTCCACTTCCATCCCCACTCAGCCGTGTGCTCACTGCAGAGCTGCCTCCATCCAGGTCCTTGCATGGCATGGCTGTGCTTGGGGCACCCTCGTCCTCAGCCACTGCTCCTTTCCTCAGCAGTAGCAGCAGCTGTGGGGGCCCCATGTCTGCCCAACAACTGGTGGCGCTTGGCCCCATGCGCCCCCCAGGGCCCAGCCATTGGTCAGCCAGCTCTGGTCCCAGCAATGGGGGCACGGTCAGCGACCATGACCAGTTGGAGGGATCACACCCATCAAAGACCAACAGTGCCTCCGACTGCCCCATCATGGACTTCCTCATCAGCTCTTCGTGCTACTTGTTGGGGCTGTGGCGCCGGGTCCCTCTCCCCGCTGCTGGCTGAGTGGTGGTGGTGGCATCTTGGACAGGCGCTCCTCATGGTGGGCTCCTCTCGCTGTGCTCCCCAGCCAGGCCATCCACCACCGCCCAGCACCCAGGGGACCGGCACGCCCGGGGCTAGGCTCGGCCCCCGGCATCCTGCCCCCGTCCGCCCGCTCGCCGGAGGGGAGGGTGGCTGGGCCGTCCC